TTCAATACAGTAGTAGTTATGCAAGACCAAGCAGTATCACAGTAGTCAAGTAAGGGCAATATAATAGCAAGGATAAAACAAGCGTTTGCAAGAAAGAGGAAGATATCTACAGTGGGCTTGAAGAGCCCCAAGGATGGAGCTTGTGCGCTTGCAGACATACTGCACATGGGGTGACCATGACAATTTAAAGTCCATAGCAACGCCAAGATGCTTATGATATTCAACAATACGAATAGCAACACTTGAGGAAGGAAAACAAAGTGGCAGGGAAGGGGGAGAAGGGGAAATGTACATAGCTGCCGTTTTATCAACGTTTGGCTGCAACTTCCAATCGTGCATCCAGGTTATAACCCTGCCAATGCTATCTTGCATAGTTTCATGCAGTCGTATAGAGCAAGCATGGGAGCAAAGCAGAGCTGTGTCGTCAGCGAAAAGGCTGACACCAGGGGCAATATAGGGGAGGTCATTAATATACAGGAGAAATAGCAGTGGCCCAAGGATTGAACCCTGGAGGACTCCAGAGGTAATGGGTAAAGGCTCCGACAACACAGTTGAGAGGCGTACAAGCTGATGTCGGTTAGAGAGATATGATGAGAGCCAGCCGATAGCCTTGGGATCAATGCGATCCACTGTTCGCAGCTTAGCTAAGAGACCCCTGTGCCAAACAGTGTCGAAGGCCTTTGCAAGATTGAAGAAAACTAAACCAACATGGTATGGGCGGTCCGAGCGGTGTGGATGTCTTGCACAAGGCGAGTAACCTGGTACCTGGTGGAGTCACCCCGACAAAAGCTCGACTGTGCTGGCGCAAGTGAAGCGCGAACATGATCATAAAGGATGTCATATACAACACGTTCGCACACTTTTGATAAAGTAGAGAGCAATGAGATAGAGCGATAGTTGCTGGGGGTGGTGCGTGGTCCTCTATTTTGTAGGTGGCCACGACTACCGCAATTTTCCACATGGCTGAGAATTTCCCCTCGCGAAATGACATATTCAAGATAATCGACACAGGATAGGCAACAGACGGAGCAAGAGCTCTCCAAACTTGGTTGGTAATTCCGTCTTGACCAGGGGACTTGCCAGTTTTCAGATTGCGGAGATATTTCCTCACTTGGGCTGTACCAGTCGACAATGATAGGAGGGACGCAGGTATTGAGGGTGAATGGGTGAGTGGTGGTATAGGCCACGTAGGGTCGTCAGGAAGTCCAAACGACGTAACCTGCGTGTTCAATATGTCTGCTATGTCTGCGGGATCTGTTGCTGCCGTGCCTTCTGCAGGTGTCATTGATCGGATCGGCTCCCGGCTACAATTCTTACGGAGATGGCGGAGAAATTGATGGAGACTAGGGCGATCATGGGAAGGCAGGGTGGCATGAACCGATTGTATATATTGACGATGGAGGGTACGTGACGAACATTTCACTTCGTTACGCTTGCGCTTAAAGGCAATGAAGTTTTCACTGGTTGGATACTTCCTATAAATGCTATACAAATCTCGCTTCAGTTTCACAGCGCACTTGAGGTCTGGAATGATCCAGGGTCGGGATGCATCCCGCATAGTAGGACGAGGCCTAATGTAGTCTCCTGTCCGCGGAATAACTTTGTAAGGCAACAGATGACGATGGAATGCGGACTGTAGTAAAGCATCAAACAGGACAATGGCATCCTCAACATCAGAATGCCGATGAAGTAATGACCAGTCCGACCTAGACTTCATTCACAACCTGCCAGACACGGGTAGGTACTTGTTTATACCTGGGGATGGAGGGACGATTTAGCAGTCGCTTGTGGTGTCGAGCACGATGTATAGCTGAGCGTACAAACAACCTGCAGATGATCAGATGTGCCAAGAGGTGCTGCATGATCGACTGACAGGACATGTAAGGGTTTGTTGGTTACCAAAAAGTCAAAACAAGAGTTGGCACCCGCTGATGAAGTGTATGTTGGGAAACTCACTAGTTGTTGGAGCCCAAGCATTGAAAAAACTGTCTGTAGGTTGGTGCCGGCTGTAGAGGTGGAGTCAGAAGAGCACCGATCATTGTGCTTGGCATTAAAATCCGCCGTCAGGAAGAAGTCACACTCGTCATAGCAAGAGGACTGTATAGTGTCTAACAGCATATCCGAGAAGGACAATTATTGTTCCACCGTTTAGGAAGGGGGTCGATACATGCAACATAATTATAAGAATAGGGTTAGGGGTGCATTGAGACTTAACTTCCGCCCAGGCAGATTCACAGCCCTGACGCTGCAGGTCGGGTCTGTGGAGATATTATGTTGAAAAGCATCAGTCCGGACGAGCACGGCGACACCACCATATCCTCTAGTGAAATAGTGTGCATTTCTGTTCTCGTGTGCTGGTCTGTCTCTTCTGAAACAGGAATAGCCCGGTACATGCACGGAATTCGATGGGCACAGCCAGGTCTCCGTGAGGCAAACAATACTCGGCTTAGTGCTCTCCAGAACAATCGAAAGTTCAGCTAATTTATTGACGAGAGACCGACAATTCATGGTTATCAGCGTTAGGTCGGATTCTGATCTTGGGTAGAATGGGGTAGCATGCAAGTTGAGGAAAGACATAGACAACATGATTATGACGAGGGACTATCACCACCACGTTCAGTCACGTTGGCACCGTCGTCAAAACGCCACTTACGGACGCCGGTGTGGCTAATTGTTTCCGGCCAAAATCCTGTACTGAGTAGTTTGCCTTCATCCAGCGCTGGGACAGTCAGTCGTGCATATGCTGTACCAAAGGTCCGGGATTCGCTGATACTGCAATTGAGCACCTCAACCTCACGGTCCTTGCACCAGTCAGTGATTGCGTTAGCGCTACACTCCATGTTGGCATTGCCTATGTAGAACACAGATTTTGCGACTTGGTCTACGCCTGTGAGGATGTTGGGGTTAGCTAGAGCCACAGACTTCACGTACCGGGACGTGACCCGACGCCGTACAACTTTGGCCCAGCCATCCGCGATCCTAACTGCTTCCCGTATATTCACTTGTACGGTACTAGTTGTAGCCAATGTTGATCTGGTTGGTGCAGCCGGTGGTGTTTCAGTGCGTGATGAGGTCTGGTGTACGTGTGTCGGTGATTGGGAAGTACGGGTACGGTTGGTAGAGTGTGCATTGAAGGGAGTCCGATACGAGTGACGGGGGTTTCCCTCACCCCAGCCAGCCAGCCCCTCTAGTACCTGAACTAGCTACACTACTGTACATTGTACTCGGGTTTGTAGATTGTGCGATGAGGTTTGGACTCCCGACTTCCTCAAGGTGTACCATCTTCGGACACCAGCACGCCTGCCATCAGGATGCGTATGTGGCCATGGTAACTTTGACGTCACACATGCCTTGTCCTGCAGTACTGGGGGATTCCCCAGTATTCGCTGTACTGGTACTGGGGGATTCCCCAGTATTCGCCACAATGAAATTCGAGACCTCACGTCTGATGTTCTGCGTCAGGTCACGCATGGTGTGTGCACAGAACCGATGCTGTAGCGGGCAAAGCTCTCTGCTTTGTCCTTAAGGGTGGTGAGCTCCGCGCCGTTTTCCTCCTTGAGGGTAGGGATGTCATGGCTACGCCCACACCCACCGGCATGCTTGACAGTGGACCACCATTCACGACTGGATAAACCACCTGCTGCGAGCCTTCGCCGGATGGCTGCTGCATGGGTATCTTCAGCTCTCTTAAGGCATGCTGAGGCAGTGGCTGTGGCTTGGGTGTAAGCCAGTTGGAGGTTGCTTTCATTTCTCAAACTTCCCTATCCCTGTCCTCCCTGAGGGAGACCATTTCCACAGCTAATGCAGTGATAGCCGAGGACAGTGCACTGATAGAGCTCACTAGCGCTGGCATACCTGATTTGCCGATGTCCATGGCGCGAAGTTGAAGTACAAGGTCCGGTCGGGCCAACGAGTCCACACCTGCAAGTCCTGACCTTTTGGCCAAGTCACGAATCTCCCCATCCAGCATCAAGGCCAGGTCCATATTTGAGTTCTCCACCATATTAGGGCTGGGACTTGTTCCAAGTCCACCTATATTTACAAAAAGTGGCCGAAAGGCTATTCCATAGAAGGAAAGGCAGGAGCTAAAAAACTTGCTTCCTACTCCTACGACACAAAATCTACTTGCATCACATCTGTGCATGTAGCCTGCTTCACTTCAGTAAGGAATTTCAAAAGGCGAAGTGCCTTCATTCGAGTCCTGGGGCTGGTGGTAAAATCAATATGATCTCTTGACTTCCCCTCGTCAATCCCTCAAATCTATGAAGAGGTTCAAAAAGCAAACACTTTTTCATGATTTCAGTACAACAAAGTGAAGCAAAGTTAGCATGTCCGCATTAAAAACGTCTATACAATTGCGTTGAGAACACACAACCAGCTTACAGTCCATTCATCGCAAACTGTCCCACTTGCTTTTGAAAGTCGGATTTGGGCCGAATTGAGGATCAAAAGCCCACTTTAAATCTCACAAATCTGGGATTTGGATCTGCTTCTCCATGCATACCTGTCCTAATTTTGTAAAACCTGGTTGAATTTCTATTGCCCTGTTCTTGGACTTTTGTGGCCTCAAATGTTGCAAGGAGTAATTGCACGGGTCACACAATGCAGGATGTACTGTTGTTTTTACGATATCTGCAACTATGTGTGGGAGACACCAACAAGTTAGGATGCCAGTTTCCAATGAATGGACTGTAGGAAGTTTCGCTCTTGCCAGGTTACCACAATGCCTGTGATACCAGGGTGGCAGATGCAGCACCTAACGGTGTGGGTGATGTGGTAACTCTCACAACCCATGCCCGACAAGGGGGCGAACCTCGTTAGCTGCATCCATGTTACCCTCACTCCGAGTAGGGAGTACCCAGTTGACCGTGGGTGTCGGAAAACCTACATCAAAATGAATTTACCTTTATATCCTTGATGACAGATGCACACATAGCTTCCTTTGGTGTTTGAACACGTTGACTGAGTTGGACAGGTGGTAGTGTAAGAACTATTAGTACATTCATTGACATCCACACAAGATACGCCAATCTTCAAGTAACCACTAAGGCAATTGCAACGGAAAGAACCAGGAAGGTTGTCACATACAGAGTTTACACTGCACACTGGTACAGCTCCACCACATTCATCCTTGTCTTGGCATATCGTTCCATTGCCAAAGAAACCATTCTTGCAACTGCAAGTAAAGTTTCCTGCACTGCTGCTACAGACAGCATCAGAATGGCACTTGTGAGTGCCAGTTGAGCATTCATCTATTTCAGTACACTGCTGTCCATCTCCACTGTAACCTGTATTGCATGTGCAGGTAAAATTGCCCGGGTTGTTCATGCACTGCGCTGATTCGTGGCAGGTGCCCACGACATTACACTCATTCACGTCGGTGCAATTCGTGTGAGCGTTGCCAGTGTATCCCGTTTTGCACTCACACTCGTAAGAGCCGAACAGGTCTGTGCACACCGCATTCGTGGCGGCACAAACGCTCGCGCCGCCGAGGCACTCGACCACGTTATCGCACTGCGTGCCATTGCCGGTAAATCCCGGCAGACACGAGCACTCGTGTGATCCCAGCGTATTGCGGCATGCGGCGTTCGCGTCACACGTGTTGTTCGCCGGCGTCTGGCATTCATCCAGGTCCAGACACACGGCGCCGTAGTGGTAGAAACCGGTTCTGCACTGCCAACTGTATGAGCCGCGGGTGTTGATGCACTCGGAGTTCTCCAAACACGTGCCACGCTTGTCGCAATCGTTCTTGTCCGCACAGGTCACTCCGTTGCCGGCGAAGCCGCGATCGCACTCGCAATAGTACGATCCCTCGCTGTTGACGCAGGACGCGTTGGCGTGGCAGGCCAGTGTTCTGGCGGCGGCTGGCTGTTTACATTCGTCAATATCCACGCAAGCACCATAGAAGGCGTTGTGGTAATACCCAGCGGGACACTTACACTTGTAGGCGGCGACACCTTGCGGCGTGCACGTTGCATTCCCCGGGCATGAAGCAGACTGGCAAGGGTCGATAGCTAGACACATGGCAGATGTCACCAAACACAACAAAACATAAGCATGTAAAAAATCTTCCGTCAACCATCCGGACAGCAATTTCCAATAGAATGCCGCAATCGGAACGGTTGCAAATATCACGCTTTTTCATGTTCTGACTGGTTTCATAGCAGTGCAAGACTGGACACGCATTGACTGGCAATCCCAATGCATTAGAGTTCTATTTCCACAAGACACACGGGCATTGTTGTCACAATGACCTAGCCGGTTGTCTCTATTCTCTTCTGCCTTTGTGAATGGACAGAGGAGTTCATAAGGACATTTAGTAGGTACAGAGAGTGTTCGGTCCCGAAACCGTCCGCATAAACAAGGTACTTGGAGTCATTACTCACAGACACAGGAGAAAGGCAGGCTGCCGTCAGCCAGAGGCGTGTAGGTGTAAAAGGCATTAGTTGGACTGCTGGCACCACCACACGTGATGTTGCCGTGTCTGAGCAGGGCATAGCCCGGGTTGCATCTTACGTCGGCCGGCTGTCCACCTCGTGTCCTGGCCAGGTAGCCGTTCGGAATGGCCAGAGAGAACTCACAAGAATCTGCAACAAGAGAACACACACACACACACACACACACACACACACCACCACCACCACCACCACCACCACCACCACCACCACCACCACCACCACCACCACCACCACCACCACCACCACCACCACCACCACCACCACCACCACCACCACCACCACCACCACCACCACCACCACCACCACCACCACCACCACCACCACCACCACCACCACCACCACCACCACCACCACCACCACCACCACCACCACCACCACCACCACCACCACCACCACCACCACCACCACCACCACCACCACCACCACCACCACCACCACCACCACCACCACCACCACCACCACCACCACCACCACCACCACCACCACCACCACCACCACCACCACCACCACCACCACCACCACCACCACCACCACCACCACCACCACCACCACCACCACCACCACCACCACCACCACCACCACCACCACCACCACCACCACCACCACCACCACCACCACCACCACCACCACCACCACCACCACCACCACCACCACCACCACCACCACCACCACCACCACCACCACCACCACCACCACCACCACCACCACCACCACCACCACCACCACCACCACCACCACCACCACCACCACCACCACCACCACCACCACCACCACCACCACCACCACCACCACCACCACCACCACCACCACCACCACCACCACCACCACCACCACCACCACCACCACCACCACCACCACCACCACCACCACCACCACCACCACCACCACCACCACCACCACCACCACCACCACCACCACCACCACCACCACCACCACCACCACCACCACCACCACCACCACCACCACCACCACCACCACCACCACCACCACCACCACCACCACCACCACCACCACCACCACCACCACCACCACCACCACCACCACCACCACCACCACCACCACCACCACCACCACCACCACCACCACCACCACCACCACCACCACCACCACCACCACCACCACCACCACCACCACCACCACCACCACCACCACCACCACCACCACCACCACCACCACCACCACCACCACCACCACCACCACCACCACCACCACCACCACCACCACCACCACCACCACCACCACCACCACCACCACCACCACCACCACCACCACCACCACCACCACCACCACCACCACCACCACCACCACCACCACCACCACCACCACCACCACCACCACCACCACCACCACCACCACCACCACCACCACCACCACCACCACCACCACCACCACCACCACCACCACCACCACCACCACCACCACCACCACCACCACCACCACCACCACCACCACCACCACCACCACCACCACCACCACCACCACCACCACCACCACCACCACCACCACCACCACCACCACCACCACCACCACCACCACCACCACCACCACCACCACCACCACCACCACCACCACCACCACCACCACCACCACCACCACCACCACCACCACCACCACCACCACCACCACCACCACCACCACCACCACCACCACCACCACCACCACCACCACCACCACCACCACCACCACCACCACCACCACCACCACCACCACCACCACCACCACCACCACCACCACCACCACCACCACCACCACCACCACCACCACCACCACCACCACCACCACCACCACCACCACCACCACCACCACCACCACCACCACCACCACCACCACCACCACCACCACCACCACCACCACCACCACCACCACCACCACCACCACCACCACCACCACCACCACCACCACCACCACCACCACCACCACCACCACCACCACCACCACCACCACCACCACCACCACCACCACCACCACCACCACCACCACCACCACCACCACCACCACCACCACCACCACCACCACCACCACCACCACCACCACCACCACCACCACCACGCACACACACACATACACACACACACACACACACACGCACACACACACACACACACCAGGACCGCCAGAAGTAGTTTTCGGTTGGTCCGGTTCTATCACGGCCTTTCGTGTTCGATATGGCGGTTACAAATGCCATCAAAATTTGGAACCATGTGTTGGTGGCTAAAGAATTGTAACCTAACAAACTGGGGTGGTTCGGCTAGGCCTGCACAACATGAAAATCTGGACAATGACAGGAACATCATAGAGACTTGGCGTGATTAAGCTACTAGCCGGCGGGAAGTCAGAAAAAATGCTGCTAAACAAAGGCTGATCCCTTGTGAGTATCCAAAGAAATAGGGCCTTAATTTCCAGAGAATGTCCGAGCTCCAAAGTTTACCCTGTATCGGTGTGTTGCCGAAGGGGAAACCTCCTGGCATATCGGTTTTCCATGCCCAGGATCCCTGGTCCCAGGATTGACACTTGCGGCTGTTGTCACCATACCCCCCCCCCCCCCTCCCTCACTCACACAGCATGATAGTCACTGGTCACCTCGAGTGAAGAATGTGCAAAACTTACCCGAGCACTGCACGCCCGATACGTCACTGAACGGGGAGCCGGGGCTGGGAACCCATACATTTTCCTCCATAATGCGGTCGGTTCGGAACGTGCACACAAGCATTGCTGCCAACGGTGGCAAGCGGGGCGGCACCTGCAGCTCTAGACGTTCGTTGCTGGATGGGTCGCAGAAAATTGAGGCGCTGGCCCCGACAGGGTGCAGTCCAGCCCGGGAGTAGTTCACATTGATCTTGGTCGGTGATAAGTTGTAGTTTGTCAGACCGGCCCCAATGTCAGGGCAGGTCATTGGTGTACAAGACTGAGGCTGCGATGTGGATGGCTCGGCCTTCAGGCCACAGATGATGGTGAACGGAGCAACAGGTTTGTGGCCAAGTGGACATTGCAGAGTGCGAAGGCTGCCGTGAGTTAAGATGAAAGTGCCCAGGTTGGCTATGGTGTAGTTGCAGTCAGCTGGTCATGGAGAAAGCACAAAGAAATGCACAGATGTACGCATGCACACATATGCATACGCACACACAAAAAAACACACACACACACACACACACACATACGCATGCGCACACACACACACAAACACACACACGCATGCGCACACACACACACACGTACACACACACACACACATACACATCTTGACATTGACATACAGCTGGCAGCCTGCCATTAAACGGCTAAGCCGCCCTCATGTGGAGGGTAACAAAGGGGTAGCATCACGGCGTTGCGGCAGAACATCCGGCCTCATGCCGTTGCAGATCCTGCTGTCTGCGATATCTCCCGCCGCACGCACAGCAGAACTTGAACTCAAGACGCTCCCTCGCTGTTGGTCGCTTGCCACGCTCGCAATTGTGCCGTTTAAATGCAGCAGCAGATCGAAAGCACCAGTCACATGACGGGCAGTGGAATGGGCAACAATGTTGGTGTTGAAGCACTAGGCGAGGTGCAGGATCGACACAGTCCGAAGGCTGTTGGGAGAAACCTGCGCCGAGAGGGCACTTATGTACTTTCAGCCCACCACTACACCAGCACTCTTGAACCATCTACCACAACGTTGACACGACTTTGCACCAGGCTGTTGGCTGACAGGAAGTTGACGGGCCGCACTGCACTTATGCCGCGTGTACCCAGACTCACTAAGATGGCGGTCGCAAACACTGCAGTGCACAGGTGGCTTAGATGGTGGTGGTAGAGACACAACATCAACGACACTCGATCTCATCAAGGGTCGATCCTGGACTGTTGTAAACCATGGAGTATCCAAGGAGCATAGGTCGTGATGAACACGGTCCTTGAGCGGAAGGCGAGGACCTTGTGCCGGACGAGCCTTGCCAAACCATCCAAACAACAACTGCTTAGGTTGGCTGGTATCCGGCATACGTGTAATATGTCCAAGCCACTCCATGCGCCACTTGCATCACAGCCGGTGTTCGGCAAGGTAGCTTGTTGGGACCGACACTGTTCCTCCTCTACACGAACGATGCCGATGACCACCTCCCACCAAGTGTAGATCTGACCGCTTATGCTGACGACACAACGCTGTTTCAGTGCCTGTCCACCATGGATACCATTGACCACAGCTCGACAGTCCTGCAAAATGCTCTCGATGCCCTTGTGAATTGGGGCACCAGCTGGAGAATTGCGTTCGAGCCAGCCAGGTCCCAGGCCATGACTATTGACCATCACCGCCCGGCCTGAGACCTCCCAGCAGTACAGTTTGCGGGTGTTCCCCTGAATGGAGAGAGTAACCTCAAGCTTCTTGGGGTAACCTTGGACAGCCAACTTTCCCACCGCAACCACCTCCGTACCGTCGCCATCAGAGCACGCCAGCGTCTCCGGCTCCTGCGGAAGGCCTCGCCGCTCCTGGATTCTCGCAGCCGAGCTACAGTGTACTGTGGGTTTGTACGCCCAGTAATGGAGTACTGCCCACTGGTCTGGATGGGCGCAGCAGATTGTCACTTGCAGCGACTTGACCAGACGCAGCGCTCAGCCCTCCACTTGATTGGCCCCGGCGCAATGCTGCAAAGCCTGTCTGTCCGGCGCATGGTAGCTGCTTGCACCTACATTTACAAGCTACTGTGCTCCAATCCTACCAGCCCACTTCGTCAGCTCTTGCCTCCCTCTCAAGCCCCCCGACCAGCCCATGTTCGACCCACTCGTCTCTCTCTCTCTCGTCCGTCTCGACATGCATAACTACCAGCTTGAGACAGGGCTACCTTCTGTCTGCCTTCCGGCACCTCCGTGCTCAGCAATGGCACTGGGCCACTGACACTCTGTAATATGTATGCACATCTGCCCACACACTGCTGCATATTGCCATACGTCTCGTGCCCTGCTTACTCTTTTCTCTGGATCTGAATGTGCACCCCATACGCATTATATAATTATGCTTTATTTAGTTCTCTCCCCCTCTCTTGCCCCCAACCCTCCCCGCTCTCTCTCTCTATCTCTCTCTCTCTCTCTCTCTCTCTCTCTCTCTCTCTCTCTCTCTCTCCCTCTGTCTCTATCTCTCTCTCATTCTTTTATTATACTTTGTTTAGTTCTCTTGCTCCCCAGCCCTCCCCGCTCTATCTCTCTCTCTCTCTTTCTCTCTCCTCTCTCTCTCTCTCTCTCTCTCTCTCTCTCTCTCTCTCTCTCTCTCTTTCTCTCTCTGCAATTGGCGCGCCTGGTTGTGATGAAGCCGAGACCCAAGGTAGGCAGAGCATCCCAGACCACGCCACCACTCCCCTTATTCATGGCTCACACATGAAGGGTTTACGTGGCTCTAGTAAAAAAAAAGAAAAAAAGGTGGATAACAATTCTGGCTTTCCCCATCTTCGCCTCAACTCTTCACTGGTCACCAAATCTGACTGTTGATCTCACTGAGACACACCCAATAATGATACGCAAGCAAGAGTGGCGGAAAACATCAATGCGGAATTCGTCACGCCGCAGGACTGGCCAACACTCGGAGAAGTACAGCAATACCAACACCACACATGCGCTGTAAATCAGTCTCTTTGTGCACAATGACAGGTTTCGGTCATCAAAGACGCAGCGAAGAGCACCAAACACGAGTGCTGCACTGGCAATCCGCCGATCAATCTCAGCTGAGATTCTGGTATCAGGCGATATCAAGCTGCCGAGATACACAAATGATGAGACGTATTCCACCGGTTGACCTGCAACAGACCCTGGGGTGTGTCACTCGTCTCGGTTTGCAACTCCTCTTCTTTGAACTTAGCAATCACGCCGTGCTGCTACACCGGCTCAAATGGCCCTCATTAAGCAGCTGCTATAATCTCTGCCAATTCATTTTTGCATACAGCGTGCACAATAGATGATTGTGCACCATCACACATTCCTGCAATCCATCTTCTCTGAATCCAACTCATTCGCAACCTAAGAATCTTCCGAATCTTTGAGGTACCCACAAAACGCACAAGAAGGTAAAGAAACTCCCCAGCTTCCCTATATCGTAAATCAAGCACAGATATTATTTCAAAGCCTGTGTGTCTTTATCTCTTCAGTATGTAACTTCTCGCATTGCTTATCGTAACTATAGCCTCAGTGTACTACACCGCTGCACTCCATAAACTCTTCATTTGTATCGTTGCGTTTTAGAAGGCAGGATTTTTCCATATTTTTATTTGATTCCGTATCTGTGTTCCTTCTGCTCTCTGTGGCCACTGGTAATTGTGAAAATAAAAAATGAAAGATTCCAAAAACGATAACGACAACATCAGCCACATCAACGACAAGACATGGTTATAGGAGCGGAAAGAAAAGACAATTTTGGTGGAGGAGATACTATGTATGTACCATATACAATTGCGCTCGGTGAAACCCAACCCAAAGTGAAAACCTGGCGCCCTTTATCAGTTCTGGTTGCGTCATAGTTATTTGAACATGTGCACTTCTTGGGTCCAGCAGAGAAAGCTCCGAAAACGTTTGTATAATGCTAGCAATAATGCTCCAATAATTGCCTTATTATGCTGATATAATGCTTATGAAAGGTATAATGATCTTGGTTTGAGACAGAAAAGGAAGAATGGCTGTAAATTGTTAAACTCCAAGGAAGGAATCCACATAGTCTATCTGCCTCTGAAGCTGCCGAAATATCTTCCACCGGATCTACCACCTGTTATTACTATAAGATATTTTCGCTTCTCCAGTGGCTGCTCTCCATTGCAACTTGATGCAGGGCTGTGGCAGAATAGTGGATGCATCAAATCTTTCCCCTTTATTATCCAGGTACTGAGAGGTGAAAACCATTATTGCTGGTGATCTTATGGATGCAGGAAGCTTATCTTGGCAAGTGGTATTTCTGCCTGCAGACAACCTGTCACTGCTTCCACTCTGTGAAAATGCCCTATCCTAAACAGCAGACATTAGGTCAGTTCGTGAGAGATGATCATGAATCGAGATCCCTCCAATTTGCGGAAAACACGTGGTAGGAAGTTATTGTACCATTCTACAGCCTTTGCTTGTGCTGTTTTCTTCTCCTCTTGGTCTTGTGTAGGTAAATGCAGCACCAAGATACTCCTCTTTTTTTATAGCATTTGACTGCAGGCTTGGCATTACAACCGTCCACAACTACCAGTACCTGCTTCACTAGAAAAGTCGGACACGCGCTGCTGAGAGCTCATATGGATTTGCAACTGAGTCCTTGAGTACGGGTAATTCTAGTTTTTTTCTTCGAGCCTCCTGGCCTTGGCTGGACACAGCAAAGACAGTTCTTTGGAACGCGCTCCGCTTTCTGTTCATAGTCGCTCCTTAATCCTGGTCCAACTTTATCAATGGATGAGAGCTGCAGTGTCTACTTCAGTATTGCTACACCTTGTGGAGACGCTATCGCCAGGGTCTGAAGCAAAAAGAGAAAACTCCTCTTCGTCTGTCTCCTCCATGATCCATGGCTCTCCAATATTTCTACTTGAGTAAACAAACATCTACTCCATGTAAATCATCGTTTCGAATTTGTGGAACATCTTTGGTTGTAGTGCCTCGGCTCATGTCAAGTCCAAAATCTATTATCATACATCTTGCACCGTCCAAAAAACCTTATAAAAACATCCTAGGGCCCCATGGATGCTGCCTTTGGCTTATATTATGCGTCGTATTTCTTTGACTCCGACTGTACGTACATGACTGTACATTTACCGGTACGTACCTGACTGCATTGATACTTACAGCGAACAAAGTGCAAAAAGTGTTACTTGTCCACAAAGTCATGTACGCCTACAGGTACATGGTAGAATGTGCTCCAACCGTAGATTTATGCATTTCAGACACGACGAGGGTTGGATCTCATGACTGCATATAGCAGATTGTTGCGATAAACCAGGTTATTTGCCAATATTATCTACAGTGCAATTTGTAATGCCGCTAACACCTCACCCAATCCTCGTTTTGTTTGAATCTAATACTCTATAGGTGCTCTGATGCTCAGATAGTCTAACAATGCCCAATATAATGCCGACATTATCCGCTGGACCCAGATGCATTCATGTCGCTTTCAGGGCGTCAGAGGCCGTACAATTTGAGGGTGCCAAATGTGCACACTTGGTTGGATTTCACGGAGCGCAACTGAAGTTGCGAGAACAAAACCATTCCGTTGAAGCTCTATTTGGCATATCACATTATCATACCGATAACAATTGTAACATACCTTTGCAGGATGTGCCGTTACCTGAAAACCCAGAGTTACATGTGCAGTTGTAGGACCCAACCGTGTTGGTACACGTAGCATTGGAGTCGCAATTGTGAGTCTGATGTAGACACTCATCTCGGTCTAGACCACCAGCCAGGTCGAAACACAAGAAGTACATACAAGTATATGTAGGAGTGACAAATCAAATTCACGTAATGGATACAGTTAGCACTAATACACTGCCGGTAATGATTGACACTAATTCTAGGAAGTCATGAAATCTGCTTAGCGGCGTTTGAGTGCTTCTTGGTTCTATTGTAGTATTTGATGTTGTCCTGTCCAGTGCTGGGATCCAGCGGATAATGCTCCGAAAATGGTTTGTATAGTTCTAGCCATAATGCTCCAAGAGCTACTTTACAATTAATTATTATTTTTTGACATCACAAATAGAAGAAATTTTCATCCAGCGCATGCACCAAGAGTGAATAGCAACTGAATAGAGCGGTTGTCAGTTGACAATCCCTTTTTATACCCGTAGCTATGGAGGGGATCTAACGTCTGGCTCTAGCCAGGGTCCACACAGCTTTAGGCTGCGTTTCTACGACAACGCACGGCCAGTTTTCCGTTTTCAGTCCCGCATTTATTTTTTCATATTCATGCGTTTACACGATCACAGCTGATCCGAAGTGGTCTCGGTTTGTATCGTTTCGCGCGTCTACACGGGAGCAAAGGATCCGCCAAAGCCCGTCATGTCGCAAGTGTTTTCGTGGAAGCACCACACGCACTCATGGAATATTTGAAAACAGGCCACACGACAACAATAATTATTTATCCAGCAGAATAATTCCGTTTTCAAAATCTTCCACCTTGGCCAGCGTTTTGGTTTCTCTCAGTTTTGGTGTACAACTTTTACGTTTTGCTCCGTGCACCGTGTAAGGCCGTCATCACACTACGTTCTCCGACTCCCGTTTACGTCTACATGATGGGGAAGCCGTGTTTAGGCATTTTCCAAATCGGCCCGATTTTTTGGCCTAAACGGCTTTTCGATCGGCTA